AAATCAGCATATTAGAATGATTTCTGAAGGATCATGTGACACTGAAGACTGGAGGGTAATGATGCTGAAAATTCAGCTCTGCGTCACAGGAATAAATTAGATTTTAATGTATATTAAAAATAGAAAAACGTTATTTTACATCATAATAATATTTCACAATATTAAATTTTTTTCCTGTATATTTGATCAAATAAATGCAGCCTTGATGAGCATAAGAAACTCCTTTAAAAAACATAAAAAACCGTTCTGATCCCAAACTTTTGACCGGTAGTGTAGATTGATAGATATAGTATATTAAATATATTCAGTATTATATATGTGTGTATATGTGTATTTTAAGCACTGCATCTAAATATTCCGCTCTTCTTTTTGCTACAGAAAGGGGAAACTGTGAAGAAGATGCGTGAAGAGGTATGTTTTTGTTTTGCTAATTTGTTTGATGTTCTGTCGAGAATAACTTTTTTTAATCACACTGACCTCAGTGTTGTTTGTGTAAAAATAATAATAGTTATTTGAAATGAACCTATTTCACTTTTTTAAGATGGGATAGAGGAAAGTAGTTTAAAATTGCACCTTTAAGTGTGTTTTTTGAGCTGTTAAAAGGGTCTTGAAGTCTCTCAGACGCGAAGCAGAACAAGAATATGAGGGTTAACTTGACTTTTGACATCCTACAGAGCGGCGCTCGCATCAACATCTCAGAGGGAAACTGTCCTGAGAGGATCGTCACCATCACTGGACCCACAGATGCCATCTTTAAGGCCTTCGCTATGATCGCATACAAGTTTGAAGAGGTGCTGGTCGGATACAATATATGAAAATCTCACTTAACTCAAACTAACCACTTTGACAAAACTGACCAAAATGTTTTGATGTTAACAGTAATGGTATACACTACCGTTCAAAAGTTTGTGGTCGGTAACGTTTTTAAAATGATTCTGAAAGTCTCTTATGCTCACCAAGGCTACAAGTCAATCAATCATTTATTTCTATAGCACATTTAAAGTTGACCAAAGTGCTTTACAGACCCATACTTACAAAACATATACACATACACACCATAAAGCACAACAAAACACTAAACAAACCCCACATAGCTAAGAACAGTTAAATGCAGCAGAGAAGAGATGGGTCTTCAACATAGATTTCAAACACTCAATGGAGTCACAGGATTTAATATGTAGAGGGAGGCTGTTTCAAAGACGCACGGAAATGCAGTAATACTATGAAATATTATTACAAACTGTTTTCTATTTTAATAGATTTTAAAGTGTAATTTATTCATGTAATGGAAAAGCTGAATTTTCAGCATCATTACTCCAGTCTTTAGTGCCACGTTATCCTTCAGAAATCATTCTAATATGCTGATTTGCTGCTCAAGAAACATTTCTTTTTATTATCAACGTTGAAAGCAGTTGTGCTGCCTAATTTGTTGTGCAGAACAGCATTTTTAAAGTTATTATTTATTATTTTTGTAATAATGTAAAAGTCCTTACTATCCACTATACATCTATTTCAGTCAATTTAATGCATCCATGCTGAATAAAAGTATTCACTTAAAAAAAAAAATGCTGACCGCAAACTTTTGAACAGTAGTGTATATCTCAATATACTGAAGTTAACAATTTAATAAAAAATGGGCAATACCTTTTTTTTAATAATCCAGTGACTTAAATTCATTTGAAATGAACATTACTTCATCCAATTTTATTTTATTTTCTCCTTTTATTCAGAACTTCATGGGCACAAACCAAGACATTAAAAGATTAGTCTGGCTTCAGTGCACATGCAGCTGCACAAAAAACATTAAACAGTAAAACAAATAATATAAAACCAATAATTTTAACTTTTTTAATTTGAACTAATTCGTATTATATGAGCCACATTCTGTTGTTTCAACTATATTAAATTTGTGTTATCTATTATGTTGTTGCTTTCTGATATTTCTTCAGGATATAATCAACTCCATGAGCAATAGCCCAGCCACCAGTAAGCCCCCTGTCACTTTGCGCCTAGTGGTGCCCGCCAGTCAGTGCGGCTCCCTCATTGGCAAAGGAGGCTCGAAAATCAAAGAGATGAGAGAGGTATGAAACTTTGCTCTTAGACTTATTTTCTGATAATGGATTGTCAGATCTCTTTTACTGGCTTATGCAACTTTCCAAGCCCATCTTGTATGGCAGAAGTCTTCAACCACACAGCCACAAAACTCACAAGTAAATACAAATTATGTAAATATATTAACATCCCACTAGACTCATGCTGTTCTCAGTGTAACCAGGTCCTTGCTCAATCTTTCTATCCACTAAGAGTTCCTTTATCTAAAAAAGGTTGAAGGCCCCTGTTGTATGGAAATCACGACATTGCTGAATGCCTTCAACAGAAACATATGCTTGCTTGCAGATGGCAATATTTGTCCCAGTGTTCCCTAGAGAGCAGTGCGGTCTCAGAGCAGATCACACCATCATCAGCAGCGGATGCTCTGAATCATAGTCTGGTGTTGTTTTTTCTCTCTCTATCTCTTTAGTCCACAGGAGCTCAGGTGCAGGTAGCAGGGGACATGCTGCCTAACTCCACAGAGCGCGCAGTGACAATCTCCGGCACCCCAGAAGCCATCATCCAGTGTGTCAAACAGATATGTGTGGTCATGCTGGAGGTACAGTTTTGTACAGTGTTGTTTAAAGGATAATTCACATAGAATGAAATTTATGTCATTATTTACACCCCCTCATGTTGTTTTAAACCCAAATGACTTTCATTACACTGTTGAACACAAAAAGTTAAAACGTGATTTAAAATCAGCATGAAGTAAAAAAAAATATTTAGGCCTATATTTAAGATTTATGCATTTAAATTGCATATATACATTTTTTTTGGTCACACTTTATTTTAAGGTCCAATCCTTGCTATTAACAAACCATTAATTACGACTTTGCCTCAATAAACTCCTAATTTGCTGCTTATTAATAGTTAGTAAGTAGTTGTTAAGTTTAGGATTAGGGATGTAGAATATGGTAATGCAGAATATGTGCTTTATAAGTACTAATAAACCGCCAATATGTTAATAATAGGCATGCTAATAAGCAACTAGTTATTAGTGAGAATTGGTCCCTATGCTAAAGTGTTACCTTTTTTTTTTGTTGGAAAATCAAATGGTCTTGGATGTACATCACATTATGGAAGAAAATGAACAAACTGTTCTTTACAGTCAGATGTTTTCATTGAATCAGCTGACCAAGTTCACTTGATGACTTCAGAAGTCTTGGATATGGAGCATAAGTCATATGAACTACTAAGTACAAAAAAGACGGTTTTACTCTTTAAAGCTTAAAAGTATTATTTCTCATTCGTTGTAATTGCTCAGAACAGAGCAACCGGTACATACTGTACAACATTTTCCTTTTGTGTCTCACAGAAGCAAGTAAGTCTGTTTTGGAACACCATGAGGCTGAGTAATGATGAATGAATTTTCTTTTTTTGGGTGAAATCCATTTGTTATGGCAATAACAATGGGATGGATGCACAACCATACACACAGCCACACTCCATTACAGCCACCCTGCCAAAGAGAGACTACATTGTTTTACTTGTGATTAATGAGAAACACAAAGCTTCCGTTGGCTTGCTTACGCCTTCTCTCATTTTATTGATTTAAATGTTATTCTTATCCACCAATGACGTGTAGGGCTGATCTCCTGCAGAGGTGAATTGTGCTCTGATTGGGCATTATCGAATGCTTTTCATTCTTGGCTTGTACAGACACAGACATATTTCTAACGTAATCAGATCACCTGGGAACTTATAACATGTACTTGTATCATCCTTTGTGTGTAGCTGAAATTTTAGCGCTATTGTTTATCTTTACAAAAGGTATAACTGAACTCACTGAAGTGACAACAATATAGCGTTCTACTGTTTGAAACATATATAGTGGAATAATGCTATAGATTAACTACTGTATTTAAAAATAAATAAATACAATAGGCAGTATACAGTGTATACTGCATAGTATACAATCAGTTTGGAAAGTAGTTGGTATTGTGTTCCCTATCCAACAAAGCCTTACTGTTTCCAGTGTGGCAAATAAATCTGAAAGTCTCTTTCTTGACTGTTTATTTGATTGGACTCCCAAAAGTGAAGAGTCTTTTGCTTAAAATTGGACTAGAAATGCTAACAGGATTTATTTCAGATTACATTACATTTATTTCACTGGTGATGGCATATTATCATGGCATATTACAGTGTGACACCTTTATTGTTGCATAATGCGTTGTTTTGTGTACAGTATGGTATTTATAAATTATATACTCTGCTGTTTTAAAGTTTGTGGTCAGTATAACTTTTTTAAATTTAATAGTTTTATTCAGCAAGGATGCATTAAATTAATTGAAATTAAGTGACAGTAAAGGCATTTATAATGTTACAAAATATTTTAATTTCAAACAAATGGCTGCTGAAAATTCAGCTTTTCCATAATTGCATTTACATTTTTTTTATATTGAAATAAAATGTCACAATTTTACTGTCTTTACTGTGTTTTTGATTAAATAAATGCAGCCTTGGTGAGTATAAGAGACTTTTTTCAAAAACAAAAATTTTGGAACAGTGGCATACTTTGCTGTAAAGTAAGGCTACGTTTACACTAGTGCATTTTTGTTTTAAAACGCAGAACTTTTGCTACGGTTACGCCTGTCGTTTACAGTACTCCGGTGTTTTCGACCCTCGAAAATGGAGATTTTCGAAAACGCTGTAGACCCCGTTTTAGTTTGAAAACTCCGGGGTTGCGTTTCAGTGTAAACACCGTTTTAAAACGAAAACGCACTAGTGTAAACAGGGCCTAAATAGTCAGCTGGTATTCTATTCTGGGCACGTATTCTGTTGACTTTTTGCTACAGCACCTTGATATTTCAGCTTGACTTTTGCCCACCTTGTTTCTGGTTTATGGATTAGACAGTTTGAGCTCAACAACACACAGCCTAGAGAATACAAATCTTCAAGCGCTGGGGTCTCACAACATCTGTGCTCCTGCTTTACCACACAAACACTCCACCACACACACCTGTCTCCTGGTCTAACGTTGTTTCTGCCTCTTACCTCTTCCCCTCTCCTAGTCCCCACCGAAAGGTGCCACCATTCCCTACCGCCCAAAGCCCGCCTCCACCCCCGTCATTTTTTCAGGTGGCCAGGTAAGAGCCGACCCGCTGGCGGCGTCCGCAGCCAACCTCAGCCTTTTACTGCAGCACCAGCCACTGCCTGTTAGTTCACTCAGGTTTTCTCACCTTCTCACTCGCATGTTGTCACACCATCCTAACCAGGGAAATACTTGCAGAGAGAGAGAGGAGCTTTAGATTGTCAATGAGAGTTCAGATCCATAAGGAGAGTGCTCTTCTGCCATGACATAGTTCAGTGCAGCAGCACTGCCTTTTACTGCTGTCCAAAAAGTTAATTTTAAGCAAATATGGAAATGAAATGAATGCATATTTTTCATGTTTTTGTCTTTCTGCTGTGGTAATGCATTCTAATAGGTTTTAGCAGGCTTTAGTTCACTTTAAATTCACTTTGCAAGTTACATGCATTTGTGTGAAGTTATGTGCATTTTAAACTCAAGTACTTCAATTTAATTTCATTTTATATTCAAAAATTTTTGTCCCATTACAGTTACCATAAAAAGAGAAAGCATGAAAGCATTTGGAATGAAGAGCATATTTAAAAATCATGCAAAACAAAGGCTTGATGATTTTAAACTGACTGCCTGAAAATTCTGTCAAAGTCAATAAATTAAGACAAATATATTATTATTGCATATTAATATTCTTATTTTTCTTAAGCCTATTTTTGAATCAGAAATCGAAATGTTGGGGTGCACTAACAAACAGAGTAATGTTTCAAATGTAATTATTCTCGTCAGGAAATCAACCTTCAAAAACCTTAGAAGTCTTTGCATATTCAACTGGTGTAGAAAGATTATATTTCAACATTGAAAAATAGAAAATTGCATACCTCACCTTTACATGGCAATGAATGCGTTTTTGGCTGCTTTGAGTGTATTTTAATTCTAGATCGATGTTCTTCACTCTTATTGCAAAATAAACTCCTCCCTCTCAGAGCAAATATCATATCCTTTTAATATTTTCAAAGCTTAAAGTGTAACATCTCAGGATGTGATAGAGTTTGTCGACCTGGATTTGCATTAATTTGAGATTCCAATAAAATTTGAAATGTCAAGTTATAGATATTGAAGGGATATGCTATCAAACGTTTTTTCAAAGTCATCCCCACTCATTCACTAACCAACACAAAATACAATGCGTTTGTAATTTCCCCCCCCTGCTAATCTAACATTCCTTTGATGATGAATAACAATATCCTTTAACAAAGCTCTCAGCATCTTTTTAACGTAACTCATTCACAGGCACTTCAGCTAACATAACCATAGATGGCACATCATGGCATTTTACATGAAATACAACACGATTATCAGTTTTACACTTTAAACTTATGTTCTTTTATCTCTTATTTTTGAAAATATAAAAAGAGGTCCAGAATTTTATGTACTGTAGAAAACTTGGTGAAGGATGTTATATATTCATCTATTCAGATGATTCAGAAATAGATTTGCTTTTATTGTCGGGTATATTTACCTACTCAAGGAATGTGTTTGTTATTTGAAGACTGTATGAAATATATTTTTAGCATAGTGTGCACTTGCACTCAAGTAGACGCACAGATATGAAAAGCCAGGAGTGTTGTAAATTATTTAAAGCGCTGAATATTATTACTGTATAACTAGTCATAAAAAATGATTCACATAAAATATGAAAGAAAATTCAGTTTTTGAAACCAAATGTTCCTTTAAAATATTAACAGATCCTTTAGCGGTTATGAATCAGTTAGTTCTTGTGTTTATTGGGCCCTGCAGCCTTGTAAAAATGTTGATTTGATTTTTTCTTCTCTTTTTTTTTGTTTTCTCTCTCCGTCTTCACAGGCCTACACAATTCAGGGACAATATGCCATTCCACACCCAGATGTGAGTCCCTAGCCATCCACCCTCTTCCCCCCTAGCACCGTCAACAGTCCGCATGGCTATGTAGTTTCAGCGTGGACCTCTCTATTAATATTAAGCAGTAATATTAATATGATGTTACTGATGTGTAATTTTTGTCGCATTACAATCTGAAAATATTCTCAACCTCAGCCCTCCAAAATGTAAACCAAACTTCTAAGGACTTGGCCTGTTGGAGGAAATGACAGTCTTTGTCATTTTCTAGATGGTCCGCATAGAATTACATACAAGACTCACGCTGAGGTCATTCGAAAGTGACGTGGTTACCTAATCCAGTGGTTCTCAAAATTTTCAGACCATGGAGTATCACCTTTGATTAGTGTAAAGGAAATTCGCCATTCAAGCAAATCAGCATTTCTGTGAGAAACATAATGCCTTTTTGCGGTTCAGTGGAAGGACTAAAAAGCATCATTTGTTTGCAGAGGCAACTGGATTTGAGGTTATATTGACATTTTATATGTTGAATTGCAAATGTAGTTTTGATTTCGATCTTAAAATGTCTCCTGTCTATGTACAAAAGCCTGGAAATCCTCTGTCAAACTTGTTACATTATTGATGGGAGCATCAAAAGCAGGCAAACAGAGTGATATCTCCACTTTTTCTTGTTTTTCGTTATATTTTTAGCATACACAGCTTGAGAATGATTATCACTTTATCACTTTTCTATTTGCATCTTACCTGTTGCATTATGGTTTTACATGCATAAAAATTGTACACTAAATTTCCAAAGTTTGGAGTCAGTAAGATTTTTTGAAAGAAAGAAAGAAATTAATACTTTTGTTCAGTATGGACTTAATAATTCAGTTGTTCAGAAGTGACATTTTTAATGTTACAAAAGATTTATATTTCAAATAAATGCTGTTATTTTGAACTTGCTATTCATCAAAGAAGCCTGAAAAAAAAATGTATCATGGTTTTCAGGAAAATATTAAGCCGCTCAGCTGTTTTCAACATTGATCATAAAAATAAATGTTTCTTGAGCAACAAATCAGTATAATAAAATTATTTCTGAAGGATCGTGTGACACTGAAGACTGGAGTAATGGCTGCTGAAAATTCAGCTTTGCCAACACTGGAATAAATTACATTTTTAAATATATTAATATAGATTACAGTCATTTTAAATTGTAATAATATTTCACAATATTACTGTTTTTACTGTATATCTGATCAAATAAATGCAGCCTTGGTGAGCTTAAGAGACTTTTAACATTAAAAAATCTTTCAGACCCCAAACTTTTTAAAGTGCCCCTATTATGGGTGATGAAAGGTTCATATTTTGGTTTTGGGAGTCCCAAACAACAGGTTGACATGCATGCAAGGTCAAAAAACACTTTCATTGTCTTATAATATGCATTTATTTTTACCTTATTTGCTCAACGACTCTGAAACGATTCGTTTAACGATTCATTAGTGTATATAAAATGGAAATGAGAAAGCAAATGTGGAAAAATAGAAGTACCATTTTTACAACAAAAAAAAAATCTGTTTTCCATTTACATAATCAAAATTACACATCCCATAGTTTGAGAACCACTGACCTTATCAAAATGGAAGCACGCTTACAATCCAGATAATGCTTTAATCCTGATAGCTGTGTTTTCCTCACAGATAATCTGAATGAATATCCATCAGAGAGAAGAAGAGATGCCATGTGTTAGTTCTTTTCATTTAGGATTGGCAGTGATTGATGCTTAGAGATGCTTCTGCTGACATTGCAATAACTCAAGTCAAGGTTGGACATCCCTTTCAACCTGCTTTAGACTCAGATTTAGACGGTGTACACAGCTACACCCAGCACAAGTCTGACTGTTTGTAAAATAGGCTTGTGTGTCCTCTGAAGGTTACCCGAGCGCTTACATGTTCATATCTCTGATGGATAACGGTTCACTCGTGGTTCAGGTGACAAATTATCGTTTGGTAATACAGACACGTTCTATTGCATTTAGACTCTTTTGAGTCACCCGGGTTACAGAAAAGCATAAACTAAACTCCACTTTAATCTTAAACCAAAAAAAAATTGAGCGAATATATCATCAAAATGTCACATGATTAATTGGCAGATTCTATATTTATCAGACATTTTTTCCCAAGATGGGGCTTATCAAAGGTTAGTTAGTGATCAGATGAGATTAACCTTAACCCACCAAGTCAGGCCAAGTCCTTCTAAAGTTGCTGTCTCTTTAGCTTTCTCTTTTGCTCTTCTTCCACCACAGTGTGCCATGGCTTCTTATCCTCTTTGTCTCTTTGTTCTAGTTTAGTTTCTTGATTTCTTGGTGTGACCTGTCTTATAACAATAACCTCTTAGCTCTACTGTCCCTCCAAACCCTCAGCAGTTGACCAAGCTCCACCAGTTGGCTATGCAGCAAACCCCCTTTACCCCCCTCGGACAGACCACCCCTGCTTTCCCTGGTACGTACCCATGAACCCTTTTGAAGTTTCCTTCTCTTTGTACCTGTAGAGAAGCTCTCTTCGTCTTTCTTTCTCTCTTTCCTTCTCGTTCCATGTTAAGCATCATGACATGCCCGTGGTGGTTGCTCTTCACTTTATGGAATGTTTTTTTTTTATTATTTATTTATTTATTTTACTTTTTTTGTGGTGTTTCTTCAAAAATATATGTTACTGCATTTTATTTTATTTTGTTTGTTAGTGTTTTATTTTACTTGTTAGTGTTTTTTTATTTATTTGTTAGTGTTTTGTTTTTAGTGCTTTTTATTTTTTGTGTTATTATTTTAATTGTTTTTTGTTTGTTTTATTTTACTTGTTAGGGTATTTTCATTTTTATTTGTTAGTGTTTTATTTATTTTATTTTTAGTGTTTTATCTTAATAATTTTTTTTTTTGTTAGCGTTTTACTTATTAGTGGGTTTTTTATTTTATTAAATAACATATCCATTAATTGTTTTATTCTTTCTACCCATTATTTCTTTCCTTATTTATTTTCTACTTTTTTGAACTTCAGGTTCAAGTTCTGAAAAAAAAAACTCACCTTGCATTGTTTTTTCTCTTTTTTTTTTTTTTTTTTGTCAACTTTTTATGAAGCGCCTAATCCTGTACTGCTAAGACCTGGGTTAAAAGATAGTGAAGTTTTCCTTCTTATGCAACATTGTCACGTACAGGGGACTAATGGTGTTTATGCTCTAAAGGAATTACCAATGCCACAAAATGTGTTCTTTCCTGCCCTTCAGAAACTGGCGTAAGAGAAGCATATCAGTGTTTTGATTTTACAGACCACAACACATCTTCCATCAAGCCATTCATTACGTATTCATTTTTATAAACACTGTCTTATACAAGCTCAGTTTAAAGCTATTACTAAGGGCAAACCAAATGACGTGTGCTGCGTAGAGCATGCTTTGCTATTCACACATATATCTAACATATATCTAATATACAGTATGTTTGTGTTAGACCAAGGATATACTGTAGGAAAGTTTGCCTTGACAAGCCAAGATGTGAGAGCCGCTAGAGTTATTTATGTTAGTTTAAGGTGAAAAAAGGCCTCCACAAAAAGCCTCAGGAGGACTAAGAGTTCCTGGCACTCTGCACGTGGTCCATTAAGGCCATCAGTCTTCTAAGCGTATGTATGCAGTGTTGTTTATCCTAGGCTGCTCTCGAGCTTCCCTCTGCTCTCTCATTCAGGTCTGGATGCCAGTCCCCCGGCCAGTACTCATGAACTCACCATTCCCAATGATGTGAGTATAAAGATTGACGTTCCGTTTTGACTCAGTCCCCTGTCAGAAATAAATTTAGAATATATGTCTGATGTAGAGTCCAAGTCAGGGTTTTTTAAGAACAAATCAAAGTCAAAGTCAATCACAAATCAAAGTCTACAAATCCATTTAGAAAATAATTGAAATTAACCCTACAGGTTTGTTTTAAAACCTTATAATTGTATTTATTTATTTTTGTTGTTCACAAGTCTCTAATTTCTCTAATTTCTAATTAATCTCTATTTTAATAATATTTTTTTATTAAGAATAAGAATATATTCTATTTCTAAACTTTTTTCTATTTCTATTTTTAAATTAATTAATTTGTATTAAATTTAAATACAATTTAAATTTATTAATTTGTAACTTATTTCTTTGATGGAAAAGCTGAATTTTCAGCAGTCATTACTCCAGTCAGTTCAGTGTCACATGATCCTTCAGGCATCATTCTAATATGCTAATTTGGTCTAGAAATGTTTCTTATTATTATCAATGTTGAAAATAGTTGTGTTGCTCAGGATTCTTTGATGAATAGAAAGTTCACTTGTTAGACTTGTTTCCATGTTTCAGACTTCCATCTTTCAAGTTTCCATCTTTGGTTTATCCAGTTGGATCTTATTTGATTCTTCAATTCTTTGAATCCTTTCCAAATTAAAAAAAATTCCAATTAATTCCAAATAAATTTGCATTCCTTTTTGACATGGTTGCGGCGCCCGGGGAGCATTTGGGGGATCGGTGCCTTGCTTAAAGGAACACGCCACTATTTTTGAAAATAGGCTCATTTTCCAACTCCCCTAGAGTTAAACAGTTGAGCTTTACCGTTTTCGAATCCATTCAGCCGATCTCCGGGTCTGGCGGTAGCACTTTTAGCTGCAGCTTAGCATAGATCATTGAATCTGATTAGACCATTAGCATCTCGCTCAAAAATGATCAAATTGATTCCCAATAAACGTTATATATACAATCTTCCCTTAGAACTCACCAACCTTACCCTTAAACCCCATTTGTCAACTTCATCAATAGCTACATTCATGTAGGCAGACTACTGAAAAAAAAAAAGGGGAAAAAAAGGCAGGCCAACTGTAGTATGATTTGTTCATGTTATGCAGTGTTTTAGTATAGTATTTTAGCATGCTGAATGTTTGGGTCTTGTTATATATTTATTTATGATTAGTTCAGTGTGGTTGCTGCATAATAATTCTTGTATTTTGACGGCAAAGATAAAAAAAAAATTTGATTGCATCCAATAGCATTTTCTAGCAATGCTGTTGGCAAGGAGCTAGTGATGTGATGCAGATGTTGCAATGAAGTACAAATGCATGTCAGAATCGAGGAGATGTTGGAAACTGTCTCTTTAGAAGCGGAAAAGATTTTATTTTTACATTTGACAGGAGCTTGATTGTTTTCAGCTTAACCGAATCGACAGTAATGCATGCTTATTACTCGACGTGGAGAGCAACAAGGTGGAAAAAGCTATCATTCTTGTACAGAAGTGTCAAATGCTTTCAGAATTATTTTATGTTATCTATTTTTTTCTATCTTTTCCTTACCCCTTCCCTTTTTCCTCTTCCCTTAACTATTCTAGGCTGACGTCTGAGGTCACTGGAATGGGCACTCTCTAATTTCTACCCATGATCCTTCACTGCATCACATGACCCTTGAGCCAATGGCATTGCACCTAGTTTGTTTTATCTCTGTACTTTTGCTGTCCTGTATTTTCAGTAATTCTGACTAATTTCTGTTCTATAATGTGCACATATTTAAAATCTCAGTTTGATGTTCCTCCTACTCAGCCTTTGTTGTGCTCCTGATGGTCCTTTAATTATTACCTTATAATTATTTTAAAAGACACTTTACTTTTTTTTTGACTCTCTAGTACCTCATGTCCTGTTTTGCCATAGCTTTCACTGTGAATTCACATTTTCTGGTCCGTATTCTGTGGTGTGGTACAGCAAAGCCAATGAAATCCTCCACTTTCCAATCTTACATTAGGTCAGATTGAGTTTGTAATTTTAAAAGCAGCGGTGCTGTGCTTTGCTCCAGGGCTTTGCTCATTGGGTACCTTACAACAGTGCATCTCTTACATGAATAATGAAACCAGCTGATGGAGTTGGAATGTTTGCACCACGCCTGTACGATTTGTTTGCATCTGTCATTGTGGCAAACGCAGTAACACAGAGAATCCATTATTAGCTTCTTGTATTCACTTTCAGAACTGAGAGGAAGAAGAAAATCAGTGTGAAAACAAACGATATGAGGATGTATAAGCCGCGCTCGCAGTTTTACTGCATGCTGAGACATTTCAATTCAGCCTACAATCTAAGTTTAATTAATTGAATCTATTACAGCAGAATTATTTATACACGTTCACATTTACAATCATTATGCACGTCTTTAAATATGAGGCCCCGATTTCATATTACAAACTTATTCAATTTCAATACATTTTTACTCACACTTGGCAGTTGGTGAGTGTTCATTTTGGACCCTGCCCTCATGCATCCATGTACAAACTTCATTCTGACAGTGTTTTCCATATTGCTCTCCAAAACCATATTTGTCAGTCAAACCGAAAAGACATGCACAAGCTCTGCCTGCCTCAGATGAGACTAAGAGGTCGTTCTCCACTGACAGCTTTCGAAACAAACGCACGCATTTTCATATTTCTCGTATTTTTGCTACATGCCAGTATAACAGAGCGCTTTGTTATTTTCTCCTAGGCCACTCTTCAATGATAAGTCAGGATCATTTGTTTCTCGGGCTCTGGAATGTTCATGGGTTTCGGCCAGTCTTTCAAAAGTGTTGGCAGATTTAGCACCCTGGTCTGCTCTTAAACATGATTGTTTCTTTATAACAGTTGTTTAGCTTCAGTTAAGGCCACTTGTTTGTTTTTATTATTATTATTACTGGTACCCATGATTCTCGAGTGTGTCTCCTCCTGCTGATGTAGCCTTACTGATCAGCTCGAATAATATTTTTCTCCCGACTTTAAGCTATTTATGTTGCATGTTATGCTGTGATTAATTATTATTAAGACAGACTGTGTACACTATTAATGATGCTTTCCCATTATTTTATCCAGCTGTTGGCACCTTCAATAATAATTTCATCCCTGATCATACAGCTATGTTTTTTTTTTTTGAAGAAGAAGAAGATTGTGTAATTTCTGCGGCACAAAACAATCTGGTAACACTTTAGTATACAGACCAATTCTCACTATTAACTAGTTGCTTATTAGCATGCCTATTATTAACATATTGGCTATTTATTAATACTTATAAAGCACATATTCTGCATGACCATATTCTGCATCCCTAATCCTAAACTTAACAACTACCTTACTATTAATAAGCAGCAAACTTGGAGTTTATTGAGGCAAAAGTCATAGTTAATGATTTGTTAATAGCAAGAATTGGACCTTAAAATAAAGGTATGTTTCTTTAAGCGGCCTGACTGGCATGAGATGTTGAAATAAATGTGAAGATGCTCTGGGTCGGTGCGGTACATGCATCTCATAACGCAATTATAATTAAGACCTGATGGCATTGAAGTGCTTTTCAAGTCTGGAGACCTTAAAAATGAATGTGTAGTGCCGTATATCCTATCTGTTGTATTGTAAATACCTGTGGCGCAGAAATTACACACTTCAATTCTCACCCCAACAAAACTGTCAGTGTTGTGTTGCTATAGTTAAGCAATTAATTTCCAGTACTGAAGCCCTCTGATTATGCTCTGAGTGTTTCCCAATTTTTCCTGAAGATTGCGACCAAGCTGAAGTCATGTTGAGTTCCCCTTTTATCCAAATCTGAACTTTTTCAGGCAGCAATCAATGTGTATTTCATCCTCCACATTTAAATGTGTAAAATGTGGTATTGAGGCTGAAAGTTGAATGTAACTGCTTCAACGTGATTCATTATTCAATCTTACCTTTCTTGCCATTTTCCAGTTGCATGGTTTTTACATGAGAATATGTAATCATGCACTAAGAAACTATTTTCTTTCACAGTCTTATTACAGGAAATTATGGAAGCGTGTTTCTGCCAAGGGATACAAATAAATAAATAAAAAATGTAATGGGAGTTTTTGATCTCACAATGAGTTTATTTCTCATAATTTTGACTTTTTTTCTCAGGCTTGTGCGATATAAAATCAGAATTTGAACTCTTATGAGAAGAAAAGTCAGAATTGTGAGATTTAAACTCAGAATTCAGAGGGAAAAAGGCAGAATTATGAGATGTAAAATCAAAATTCTGAGAAAAAGAAGTCAGAATTGCGAGATGTAAACTCGGAATTGTCAGAAAAAAAGTCAGAATACTGAGTTTATATCTTGTTTATATTGCAAGAAAAAAAGTCTGAATTGTGAGATTAAAGTCACAATTACCTTTTTATGTTTTATTCCATGGTGAAAACAAGCTTCTATTAAAAAATTAAAATAATTATAATAATTAAAATAATAAAAAAATTATTTTTTATTTAATCAGGTACAAAACCATGCATTTGCAAAGCATTGAAGTTATAAAGATATATATTTCTATATTTCTATTTGGTATCTGTTAAGCAGTATCACTGCAGCCAAATCACAGATATGCACCCAAGAAATCATTTACACCAAAATCTGACATTGTATGATTTTAATGTCTGTTATGAGTACAGAATTTTTATAATATTGGACTCGTAAAGGTATGCACATGGTCATGCTGAGCCATCCGTGCACATGGCCGTAAATTATGCCATACCGTTCCTTTAAAATAGCTCATTAATCTGGAATTATTCAGCACATTCTGTTGGTGTTTTAGATTCAGCGTTCAGTTTCTTGTCATCACATTTACCATGTTTTGCACTGCTTTGAAATGTAATATTTGTGTAAGTGTCTTAGACTCTGTTAAACATTAAGTTAGATTGTATGTTTACACAAGGCTATGTCTTGTGATACATGTATGGAATGTTTTATTTGATATTATGTTTAGTTCATAATGTGCTGTACTCTAGATCACTGTACAGATGCATATTAATATT